AACTCGAGTTGCAACCAGAGTCACGGAACGGATTAAATTCGTATCCCGAGGTACCACTGTACAGCATACATTTCTGCATATCATTTTTCAGTAGGAAAGCTGATTTATGGGAAAGATTGTTATCTACCCCTAACTACCTAACTCTCCCTAAACACAATTGCAGTTCACGTACAATGATCCATTGAAGGTTAAGTAAATATTTAGTCCAATATTAAAGATATTTATCAAATGTATTTTAATGGAGATGTTCAGATATCCTGGTATACACTTTTGTAAACTATTTTATAGATTATCTAGGAACCTTTTGTAACATCTAAACACATGAGTGATAAATTGATGACCAAGCTATTATATCTTTTTCTCCCCTCTATAAAATATCTAATTGTTACTTGTATATTATAACTTTAGAAAAATGCCTGGTTTCTTGGATATAAGTTTAATGATTCCTTGCCTCCCTTTAGTCTACCACTAAAATACTTTTTCTTGAAATAAAACAATGTTTTCAGCATACTAATGAGACCACCCATCTGTGCATTCCAACCTTAAGCTTTGATGTCTTGCAGGAAACATTTAAAATCCAAACCCAACAAGCTTTTTTGGATGTTTATCTTGCTGATGGAAGATATCTCAGGATAGATATTCAAACATCAGATACTGCTGAAAGAGTGCTAGAGGCAAGTAATATATATATATATATATATATATATACACACACACACACACACACACACACATTGATTTGGCAGCATCTCATAGGAAGTGTTCCAAGCATATTCAGTGAAGCATATTTAGTAATCTTTCTGTTCACAAACATTTCTGATCTGTATTGTTACAGATGCCTCATAAAAACATCAGACAAAGTGATGGCTTGCTTAATTGAGGTTTATTGGTTTATTGAGTAAACCATAAATATTAAAACCCAGCTGCTATGGTTTGCAAAACACACTCTGATATTACTGTACAGAGCTATCTGCAGGGTATGGTCAAAAAAGTCATACAAAAAACAGGCAGAGCTTCAGTTGCACAGTTGTGACTGCCATCTTGTCTTTATGGACTATACCCTGCAGATGCCCCCATTACTGTACAAACCACAGTACGGTGATTGGGTGCCAAGACGTAGGCCAACCAAAGCTGGTTTAGGATTCAACTTATTTTCTCAGGCAGGGTGTGTTGTGGCTGCCCAAAGAGATTGGCCAGCCTTACGAGAGTATCTCTGCAGCTGCTTATTTTTCCATGACAATACTTGGGGTTCACCAATGAGCACTTGGGAAGTTACTTCTCTAAAATCAACATTTTGTTTCCTTAAAATATTTTATTCCACTTTTCTATCTGAAAAAGACTCAGGAGAGAAAAAAAGTGTTTTGTAGTCATATTTCTTGCAGGAGAGAATTGGTATAGACACATACACTCAATCAGCAAAGGGGTGGGCCAGAGTTTCTTAATAAGAGCTCACTAATTTTTTTAAAATAGCGCTATGGAACTTGAAATAGTTAACTGGATGACTTAACTCACAGTTTAAGGGGCAAGTGCCTCTTTTGTTTTCCTTCAGGTTATATCATACAAGATTGAACTTTCTAAAGAACTAATAGGATACTTCAGCTTATTTCTTATTCAAGATCACAACAATGGACAAATGTCTGGTAAGAAGTCTTTTGTGCACCACATACTACATTCACATGGCATCCCATCTGTGTAGTTTGGGAAATCCGCATGCCTGACGGCTGTGTAGAAGTAACATTTTGACTAGGCTCTGGTTTTGAACATTTCAGCATTTAAGCAACTGTCATGGGCGTTTAGAGTAGCTGCTGAAGTGGCGTAGTTACCAAAGACTAAGAAACTGAGTACAAGGCAGGTTGCACCTGAGCCCCAAATGCTAAACCATACCTTTAATTCTACAAAACACAACAAAACAACCGTTTCCCAGAGAGTGGCAATCTGATTGAGAGCACACTGCAATGAGAGCAAACTCGTTCTGCAGAAAAGTTCATCCAGCATCTTTCAACATGCATACGGTACAAAAGATAATTCAAAGTACATTCATTTCCCCCCATCCCACCACATCGGCAGATCAGACAGACACGGGGGGTATGAAGAAACTTCAGGTTTCCTGCTCCCAGTACAACACCTATTTCTAACACTTATGGCTATGAAGATCCATTTGAAAGTACATGAGAAAAGTCTGCTAATATCTTAGAATCTAGACAGGAGAAGTGAATAAACATGAAATAAATGAGTATATGAGTAAATGAAAACAGTGTTTTATGTTGTTCCTTGTTTCTTCCTGTGATCAGCAGGTTTGCATAATTTATAAAGGTCACAAAAGTCAGCTACTCTTGGCACAAATGCAGAATATTTAGCACCACCAATCTTGTGTTTAATCAGCACCATCTTTAGATATAAATATACTCCTTTTTAATAGCATTAAAAACAATCAAAATATCTTTTTTTCCCCTTTCTTCTTACCTATCCCCCTCCAGTGTTGAAAAAACTAGCAGAATTTGAACTTCCTTACGTGAGTCTCCGGAGTGTGAAAGAGTCGGCTTGTAAGATTGGGATCAGAAAGTGGTGAGCAGGAAGCAGAAGTGAAATTAGCAATATACATTAAAATATATCAGTGTGCTGGAGGGAAAAAAATCATGGGATCAGTTCCATGTATGTTATAGCCAGTGGGACAGTAATCTATTCTTCTCTACTTTGGCACTTTCCAGATGTATTGGAACTGGAACATTCAGAATTCCCAAAGGTCAAGTGAGCTGACAGTTCAGAGTGGCCACATCAGCCAATATATCTGGAATATTATTGGATAGCACATCTGAAGTAGAGATCAGACCCGAATTGTCCATTAGCATCTAATCTCCACCCTATATTTGGACTGTCCATTAAAGTCTACAGTTAGAAAATCTGGGTAAAGACCCATGTTGAGCCTTTTTAATTGGAATAATTAAAGGACATTTTAAGGATGTGCAGACAGTTATAGAATATTTTTTTCTCCAGTACCTAATGAGTTTTTTCCACTAATTCTGTAAACGTAGCATCATCGTGGAATATACAATGGATTCATCATTAAGTCTGATGAATAAAAACAAGAACAGAATAATCTTGTTCTCCATGGGTATTATGTACATACGTAGTAATCTTAGGTACATACATAAGGCAAAAATTACGAAGTGATTTTAAGGACCGTATCATAGATATAATATCAAGCATGATCATATCATGTAATAAAAAGTGTGAATTGATTCCTTAAATTCAGTTTGTAGTTTTTTACCTATAATATTTTGGTTAAATTTCTCTCTGCATGTATGCCACTGGATTAATGGCTTTTTTATTTCCATTGGGCAGGTATATGGATCCTTCTCTTGATAAAATGTTGATGGGCTGTAGAACTTCAGTAAACTTACTTTACATGCAGGTATGTTTAACGACAAGTGTGGTGTTTTTAAGCATTGCCAGACAAATTGTGAAATAAAAGTGACTTGTGGTTTATTTAACTTTGTGAATGAACACAATTTCTCAGCTCTATCCTGCTAATAATCTACGGAAAATGAACATATGTGATACACAAGAAAAATAAAGGTCAAACTAGATATGAGATGCTCTAGCTAGTGTATGAAACATCAAAACTGAATTGTTGCTTGGAGAAAAACTCTTGGGAGGAGTAGCATCAGTGTCAGCCCTCCCAGGTGCACCAGACAGGAAACACAATCAGATTGCTACTTCTGCTTTATTGATAGGCTACATTAACAGAATCTTGCAAGTCTGAAAGTACAAATCTCCCGCTGTCTCTTTTTACTGCCTGATCAGTTAGGGCGGGTCCTTCCTAAGTTTCTTCCTCTGCCCGTTACTCAGTTACGGGCTGCTCCCCCTTTTATCTGATTGTTCCCTAGGCAGCATCTCTTCCCCCTGTCTTCCAAGGTCATTCTCACATTCCGTTACAGTCAGAGAGTTAAGCAGTGGTTCATGGAGAAAGCTGATTTAAGCAACTGGATCTTCTGCCATCACTCACCCGATTAGTGGTTCCCCAGACAGGGATCAGGCCAAACTGTGCCCATAATTAGGTGAGAAGAGTAAGTAGTCCAGCTCAATGATCAGCATAGTAGCTAGGTAGATGTTTAGCTCCTTCTTATAATACTCATTATGGAGAGAGAAAGAGAGAGAATTTTTATTAATTTTTTTAATTGCAAAAAAGGAAAAAAAACATAGAAGTGCTTTAACATAAAAGTGAAAAAAAATACAAAAAAGTTAATATATCATAATAGTACACAGTTACAATTTTATATATGCTTATTCAATACAAATATTATTCAAGTATGTATATATTTCTAATGGAGTTATATGACTACCTTTTAAAAAAAATGGCTTTTTATCTATATAGCAGTCCTACTCATGATAATTACTTGTGTTATAGCGATGCAGAATGTTTTACTGACATTGGAATAATTGCTGGCAACATTCTTAGTCAGGATAACCAAATCTTCCACAAAGCGATGCTCTCCAGATGAACTTCAGTCTGCGTCCTCCCAATAATCTTCACCAAGAGCTGATGGGGTAAAGTTCCAAAAGAGTTTGGAGCTTTGCTATTGCGTCAAAGAGAATAAAGAGCCAGTTGTATTCTAGTCTAACGTTTACTTGCCTATATGTTTTGCTTTTTTTTTAAAAAAAAGGTTGTACAGGAACTAGAGATCAACTGGGTCAAGCCTACTGAAGGGCAGAGGCAGAAGCTTCAAATGCTGCAAAAAGCTCCAGATAAATTAAAGGTAACATGATTTTTAAATGATGATGGTCCTTTTCAGAATGTAAGTTATTGTGTGAAGATACCAGAGAATGCATCCACTTTTAAAGGCTGGCCTTTTTCTTCAGTTTTGCTTGAGGAAGAATATCAACCCCCGGTCTGTGCTTTTCCAAAATTTTAAATATCAAATTTAGCCATTTAGAACTGAAGGTTGAAACCACCATGCTGAACAATTATTACCTTAAGTGCTTTGCTTGGTAGCATGGGGAATTCTGGGAATTGAAGTCTACACATCTTAAAGTTGTCAGTCTGAAAAACATTGATTCAGAGCAAGGGAAATCAGGATTAAGACAAAGAGGAGAGAGATTAACTTGTTCTTCTCATATCACAGTCTATGCAAGCTGTGTGGAGGGGAAGCAGCCACTGAGAGCTGTGGCTATCTGCACCAAATTCCCAGTAGCAGCTTTGGGCATGATGCTGATCTTTATGGGCATGTTTACTACATTTCTATCTCACCTCACTCTTGATCTCCCAACTACAGGTGCTTGTTTAATAAAATGAAATATTGTCATGCAACGGCATTCAGTGTACTTATTGTAATATATAGCCAGCCATGTTTTTGAAAGTGGATGCATAGAGATTTGGTCCACAGAAACTAAGAATGTTTCCATTTTAGTTTTTAAGCTAACATTATCAAGCACCCTTCTCTTATGGCAGTGGGATTTCCCCTTGATACCCCTACTCCCATACCCTGAATCCCCCAAAGTACCAGTGAATTTGGTAGTTCACAGAGTTGAATGATTCATTCTTCTGTTATTAAAGCCCCATCAGATCCTTCCCCTCTCCTTCAGAAGTAATTAAACTAAAGACTTATAAAAGATATTCAACACGCAAATGCTTTTCTGTGAAGCTTCCTTAAATTGCAAATGATTGAAAAATTGAAAAGAAGGCTATTTAAGAAAACACACACATCCTTTGGGGTTGGAATAATTAGAGTATATTCAGTATAATTGGATTCATGTTTGGAAGCTGAGTTTTGTTTTCTTCTTGCAACTGGAATGTATATATTCATACATGGGTCTGGGCCAGAACTGCATTCAATTATATTGAAAGGATAGCTAGACTTTCATCCGTCTTTACATCAAAGGTGCCTTGATGTTCATAATTTATTTATAATTCATTCCCCCACCCAAATAAGCAAATGTATACCCTGAAATTTATAAGTGTCTCTCTCCATTTTTTTTCCTAATCAAAAGAAAGGGGAAATGGCAACTTACAAGAAATAGATTGGAGTACAGAATGCAGAATGTATTCAAATCATTCCTTTTTGATGTGTGTTGATGTTTATAAAAGGCGTAGGCTGATCATAGTTAAAATTGTAATTGATTATACAGAAAAAGATGGGAACAGATTCCAATCCATTGGACGCCTTGCCTTTTGTGAAGTGTGTGTGTTTCCATCTTGCAGAGACGTGGAATCTCTGGTCTGCAGGCATAATGTCCCTTGTCAGGTTAGCAGCTCATGGGCCCCCAGATAAGGCCACTTGCTTCACCTGAGCCTCATCCTTCCCTTTCAAGAGGGAAAGGCAGGATGGTGACATATATATGTTGCCATTGCTTCTATAGCAGTACCAGCTGGATGTGCCATTGCCCTGTCTTTGTCATGGGAGGAGAAGCAAAGGTATCTCTGCAGGAAGAGGCAGAGGACAACAGGGTTGGCCAAGAGAGAAGGCTTCTGCGCAAAGATTAGAGCTTTCCCTTACATACCCTTGTACTCAACTTTCTTGGGCTCACTTAAGGAGGTGGGGCTGAATCCAGCCCTCTTACCAGATCCAGTTCCCTATTCGTGCCTTTTGAAATGATGGTATCCTTCCATTCCCTGTTCCTAGTATGGTATGTACTCAAAGAACCACGTGCTATAAACATAAAAGAGAGGCAAAATTTAGGTACTAGTTCAGACTAGACTGCTACTGCATTTTTGGAAGAACTGGGATCTAGATATACCTAGCACGGTTATAGATGGCAAATAATATATTATAAGAAAAATAAGGCTTACTTTTTAGATGCTTCTAGAATATGTGGGTGAATTTTGGATATTTGGAACTACTCCCCATGTAGAATTCAATTATTGGGGAGTGTCCTTGTCAGTTCTTCAGCATCTGAAGATGTAGAGAAAGAATGTTTGATGCAAGTTACCCACCCAGAGAATTAAATGTCTATTGGTGGGCTGCTCCTGGGATGAACATTTTTCTCAGTGATTAATCATTCCTATATAACATTTGGCATTTGTATTTTCAATGAGAGAATCACTGCATTGAATCCTGTAGTCCTCAGTTAGCTGACACTTGGTCACACTGTGTGATAACAATGGACTTTGGAGCCATCTAGACCCTTGTGAAGTTGCTTGTCTTGGACACCTTTACACATGTGTGTAACGTATTGCTCTCCTCTAGCTGCCATTTCTCTTGCACAGTTTTTAGAGCTGGCTCAAGAGATCCAGCATTACGGATATATACAGCTTGCTCCTTGCTCCTGTGACTACCCTGAAGTTGGTTGTACTGCTGTTATTCATGTGGGAAATAATGAGATTAGCTGCTGCATAAAGTTGCCTAGTAATCAGATGAAAGAGATCAGTTTCAAGATCAACAGGATAAGATGCTGGCAGGTCACATTTCTTGTAAGTACCTTTTTGTATCTGTCAAATCCTTGTTTAAGGGTTATTTTCTGAAGGTGGTGGTGGCAGTGGTGATTGCTGCTGCTGCTCCTCCTCCAGAAGTTCTGTCATAGGCATTAAAATTCCTGCTTTGTATAAATAGAACTGTGAAAAATAACACATAGCCCATACATAGATTTTGTGTGTGTGTTTGCTGCATCCTGTACATCTGGCAAGAAGCTATTTGTGCATCATCATTTACCATATATTAGGACAGTCTTCTTCAAACTGGTATCCTCCATATGTGTTGAGACTGCAACTCTCAGAATTCCCTTCAGCCATGTAGGCTGGGAATTCTCGGAATTGGACTTTGAACACATTGGAGACTACCAAGTTGGGAACGACTGTTAGGAAATGCCCTCTGTAGCCCAGGTCCTCAACATGACACTTATGGGCACTAATGTGACCTTTGAGCTACCTGCTGGCGCTGGCCAGGCTCTATCTGATTTTTTAAAAATTATTTTAACACCCCCCCCCCCCAAATTAAAAAGGAGAAAAGTAAAATAATTATCTCCACAAAATTTTTTTTCACTAATATATTGGGGCCCTGTCTAATTT